TCTCTCCATGGGATTTGAAATTTGAAATTTGAAATTTCAAATCTCCCCATGAGACATAATTGACTTTCTTGGTCCTTCTCGAAGTGGACTAACTTTTCTTGTTTTCTCTTGAAGATTAATGCAAAGTTTTCTTGTTCTTCATCTCATCCCTCTTGTGTTTGTTTATCTTTGATTTGGCGGAGAAATCTTATCTTTGAAGGAGCATTAGGGCAAACCCTAACTTGGGAACACTAGGGCGTATCACATTTATTACATTAAACAACACTGATATGTATGAATTGGATTCTCTATTGCATGAATTATATTAAATGATAATAACTCGTGCATCAATAAATCAAGGCAATGTTATTTCTACCACTTGACATTTTCATTATGAGTAATAAATAAGATTTCTAACGTATACAATACTAACAATTGAATATCAGAAATATGATTGGTAACCTTATATTTAGAAACCTAGTACAAGAAAATGGGAAGGATGAATTTGGTGGCTGTTGTTTGTGAGAAAGAAAGAGGAAGAATAAGGGAGAGATTCAACAGCTACTGCAATAGAGGAGGGAGGAAATTTGATGCTCTAGGTCTCATATTTGCTTTAAATGATAAGAGGAAGGCAGCTATGGAAGGAGAATAAATTGAATAGGGAAATAATTGCATGATTCGTGCAATTGGAGAGAAAGGGAAGTGAGCGTGCGAAGAGGGGCTGCTGTTATTGCTTGCCATTTGTCATGATCTGGGTGAAGGAAGGGCCGGTTCGCTCAGCTGGGGTTTCATTCGCGTGTAGCAGGCGCTTGGACCGGCCAGTCCAGGTTCATTCAGCTATTACAGATTGCTCCTTTTATGCGAATGAGATGTTCTTAGTCAGTTATTCATGAAGCTATGTCTATCTCCTACCATCATCGTCGCATTCAATTGGACACAACGTGGAATAGATACGGAGGTCAACATTCATCATGCAAATGACTATTTCTATATCACTTAATTTCTTAATCCATAGGTGATCTTTTTGCTTACTTTGTCTAGGGGAACATGAATAATACATCACTAAGTTTGCCATGGTAAAAACTCATCACATGCCTGGTTAAATAGGCATGCGGTGTGTTTCACATGGATATTATTATTAACTTCAATGTTTAATATATCGTCTGCTTATCAATTAGTCTCTTATAACAGATGCCGAAAGGTTGTATTTTAAATTGGAGCCATCCTATATTTTGGAAAAAAAAAAAAATTGTACCGGGTTTTTAACATGGGACTTTTCAATTGTTCCACTGGCATGTTGCAGACTAGCAAGTCTATTCCACAATTAGTCTCTTATAACAAGTGCACTGACCATTTTAGAACTACGAAGCAATTACAGTGGTCATTCTCAGATAGCTGTTTAAGAACCACTACTAGTTCTTCAGCTATATATAGTTGAAAACAAGAAATAAATTACTCCCTGTATGGCTGTGTCCAAATCAAAGATTGATAGCGGGAGGAGAATCTCAGGTTTTATCATGGATTAATAGTGAGGGTGGTCTTTGGTCTTGTTCGGATCAAATATCTGTGATTGCCAGCCTTATTAACCAAATACAAATATCAATTGTCATTCCATAGTTCACTTGCATTCCTTTAAGCATTTTAAAAAGTTGTTTTGTCCTTTTTTTTAAAATTTACTTCTCCGAGCGACATTTACGTGGACAAACATCAAATTTCTCGTTGGGTAATGAACGTAAGTATTGAGCATGCCAACAACACTTGAACCGTGAAGCAACCATGATGTCCATGATTCAACAATAGTTCAATAGTCTACCAAATTTTTTGACATCACTGCTGCCTATAAGAAAAAAATAAACTCTTTGGATCTGGATAAAAAAACAACAAAAGAAGGTGGAACTCTCATCAGATAATAATAAATTGCACAGAGATCTTCAAACTCTGATTGTATAAAAAATTATTGTTTAGCCTGGTCTTTGTCCCCGATAAGTGATTGCTAGTCTTCACACTAATTGGATCAATTGTCGATGACCCTTAAAAATAATTGGATCAAAGATTAATGGTTCTTTAAATTTTTTTTTATAATTTATTTCTGCATTTGTGTGTGGAGTTATCCACTGTCCAATCAAATGGAGATCAATTTACTTGGACTCATATGGGGACCGACCTACTTGGAGGAAGACGAGATATGCACCGGGCACACTAGTTGGAGAGTAAGAAAGTGAGATGGAAGGTGGGTGCTATTCTCTACATGTGTGCGCAGTTTTGGGATCATTTTCTCCTTTCAGTATTTTAGAGGTCAACAGAGGGATCATTAAATAACTTCATAGCTCAAGTGTATTTAACATCAAATTCCTACTTGGAGGAAGAAGAGATACGCACTGGGCACGCTAGGAGGCTAAGAAAGTGAGAGAGAAGGTGGGAGCTTGATGTAGAACGGGAAAAGGCTTTGTTAGGGAGAGGATCTCTTCTCCAAAATCTGACAGCAAGTTCTGATTTCTTTGCCCAAAACCTGATTAGAATCTCAGATTTTCTCTTGAGAAAATAGGGGTAGGGGAAGGAGGAGTTTGGTTGATAACCTAAGGGAGGATCTAAGGCTGATTTGGAAGAGAGGCAACCCAAGGTGAGGTCTTGGGAGAATTCAGCCAACAGCAGATTGAAATCCAAGCTATTCCCAAAGAGAAGCAATGGAACCTGAAGAGGCTTTAGGAAATTCCAGTAGTGTAGCCGGCAAGATGTAGAGGGAAAATAGGCCTCCCCAGCTTTGGGAAGGAAATTAAAGGCTTTGAAACTTCCTTCACAGGTTCTGGACTAGAGAGCTCACCCAGTGCAAATAGGAAAGAGGAGGGGCGGTGACAGGGAGAGGAAGCTGACAGGATTGAGAGGGGGCGGGCTCTTATTTCCTAAATCAAATCTCTAGTATTAGGAAATAAATTAAAATTCAAATTGATTTCAATTAAGCACTTTTCAAAACATAGGTGAACTAAATTAGGAAAGAAATTTGAATTTCAAATTTTAAACAATTTGAATTTCAAATTAAGTCCTAATATCATGCACCCCAAATTAGAAAATCCAAGGAGAGAGGAGAAAGGATGAGGCTGGCGGCTAGGGAGCCATGGCCGGCGGTTTGGAGGATTTTCGGGTGAGGTGGCCGGCGGCTTTAGGGGAGAATTAGGGGAGCTCAGTATGGGGGCTTGGCCAGTGAGGTTGAGGGAGGAGGAGGGGTCGGGTGAGGTATTAACGCCATGGGAATTGGGAGAGGATATAGATGATGACTAGGACAATAAAGAGGAATAAAAACAAAAACAAAAGATAGAAAATGAAAACCGCGAGCCTTGGACTCTTCCGAAGACTGACAGGTGATGCTTTGCCCTTCTCCAAGGGACTTCAAGTCACGTGCCCGGACCTATCCTGCGGCTGGTGAAAACTCCGATTCCTTCCCATAGGAATCTCACTATCGTCCTCTCAAAAGAACACAAGTGTTGAACACAAATTTTTAATATCAATAATCCCCCCTCTATTAGAATAGCTTAAGGCCCTATATATAGGCCACAACATAAGAAAACTCAAAAGACAAAATTGCCCCTTGGGCCACAACACTCACATAAACCAACCTAGGGGTAAAACAGGAAATAACATAAAATAAGAGCTAAAATTCAGAAAATAAATCATAATTGAAGATTTAAATTATAGCCGTTGATTTACGACGCCTCCTGTGATAGATGCGCCAAATCTTCGTTCTGATGTCCGCCTCAGAGCTATTCTCTACATGTGTGCACAGTTTTTGGGATCATCTCCTCCCTTGGGTATTTTAGAGGTCAACAGAGAGATATCATTAAATAAGTTAAAAGCTGAAGTGTATTCAACATCCAAACTCCTACTTGTAAGATTGATCTATTTTGATTGTTTTGTCTGTTTCTAGTAGAGTTTTTGGAAGTTGGAAATATGCTCAGCTGAGTAGGATTGGACAATGCATGTGTAGTTCTATGGCTTAGAAACTGGTCTAAGTCGCACTCCAGTTTCCAAAAAAAAAAAACTTGAGTGGTTGTTAGCAGCACTATTTTATTTCTGGGAGAGATATATGCTAGGCGTTTGATTTCTATCTGAAGGCTCTCCAAGGAGAATAACCATTAATCAAGAACTTTATTTCGAGGTGCAATTGCATCCAGGATACATTTACAGCAAGCAAAATCACTCCAATAGTATGCCATTCATTGCGTCATTGCATCAGAACCTGAGAAAAGCAAGTTGTTTAAATGGAGGTTTTGATAAGTTGAAATGTGAGTATTACATTGTTGAATAATTCTCCACTGCAGTAATCTCTCTTTTTTTTTCCTTAAAAAGTTGGGTGCAAGTAGGGACTCCTGCTCACCACCAAATCCAGATTTGGCGAGGGAGCTGCATCAATTATAAGCCTAGGCGGCTGCACAGTGTGTACATCCTAGATTGGCAAGGTGAAGTGCGGTTGCTATGAATGGAATATTCCTGGAGTCAAATCCATGTGCTGTGGCTATTTTTACCCCTTTGGATAGCTGACATTGCATTCTCAAAATTCTAGATTGAGGCTTCGTTTGGGATGGCTTTCTTACTGCTTCTTAAAGCATATTTCTAGTATAAAAATTTAATTTTTAAACTAAAAAGTTATTTTTAGAAGAAATAAAAAATCCGCCCCAAATGAAGCCGGATTTCTTTTGTCTGGCTGTTTGGGACTGATTTAGTAGGATTCTATATGTTTTTTTAATGTCATTGCTGCCATAATGTTGTTTTTCCTTTCTAGCTAGTATAGGTTTTATTTCTTCCTGTTTTTGCTCATTGTAAAGCCCAACAAAATAAAGTTACATTTTGGTCGAATAATCACAACTGAGCATTCCTCAATTATTAACCCTTTTCTTCTACTCTCTTCGTTAACATACATTATATTCCATTGAAACAGACACAACCATTGTTTTTAATTGCTTACAATATCTTTTGTACTATTTCATTGCAGTTCTGGCGAGGTACTCTAGGAGAAGCAGTTATGGTGTTTTCAAGTGGGCAACCTAAAGGGGAAATTACTCTTTTAATAGAAGGTAAGGCGGATTCTCCTTCTAAGGCCCCATCTGAGGATGAACTCGAGCATGAACTGAGAGATTTGATATCGAAGGGTCATAGTATTTCAACGGTATGTAAAATTTCACAAGATGACTTACTAATCATAACTCTACTACCTTATTTTAAGACTAATGTTGAATTTTAATTAATATTCTTGTAAATATATTATGCATGACATTTTCTGGGAAGGTGAAAAGGACCTTTGAAGTAATTAACCATTATGTAGTTGTTGCGAATGGTTTGTTGCTGTAAACTATTCATGAGTTGTACATAAATGATCGGATATTTATTTGTGTTTGGTTAGTCAAGGAATTGAGTCTAAATATCATGCTCATATTTGACTCATATCTTAACAAATACCCCAAATATGAGTTGCTCAACGAGCCGATTATGAATTCGCAGGCATCAATCCAGATGGACACTTTTACCTATATCGTTTGGATGAAACTAATAATGATGACCAGATACAATCAAGAGTGGGAGATGCATGATGAGGTTAGAAAAAAATTAATATGAAAATAGAAAGGAGTAATATATCAAAGATAACATAGGAGTTGCACACTAAAAAATGTAAAATATCTTAGCATGTAATTTACCACTAAATAAGAATAAATGGCTAATAATGCTAATGATTCAGTATTGGATCCAATTACTCAAAGCAAAAAGAGACGGATAAAGCTTTTAATACGGTTCCTGTAGAATCGATCCAACCGGGCCCAGGTTTATAGGAGGCGGGCTAAACCGCCACCTTGAAATTCATGTGGGGCTCTCTAGGGCGGCAAGAGGAGAGAGAGAGGGGGGCAGCAAAAGCAAAGAAGGAAATTCGTATTAGGAAAGCTTGTATTAGGAATTAATTAGATGAAGGAATTATGTATTGAGTAGTATAAAATAGTATGAGAGGCTAGGGTTAGGGCATGCATGCTTTGGGTTGTTCCTCTTGTAGTTGCTTGGGTGTCTCAGGCTCTAGATTCTTTGTCCAGAGATTGGGAGAGATGATCCTCCTCTCGAATTGAGGATCACTTGTATCTTGTTTTTGTGTTTGTTTGACTTTGATTTCCTTATTACAATACAACGTTTTGTGGCTGTTTTCACCCAGATTTTGCATTATTCTCGCTGATTTCACCAATTAATGATAAGTTTGCTTGCAAACTCAAGTATTTCTCTTAGGGTTACTTGCGAACTCAAGTATTTCCTATCAGCTTTCCAACAAATGAAATACTCGTTTATTTCTGTTCATAATTTCTTTTTCTTCTTGCATTCATTTTAATTTATGGAGTTACATGACTGTTTTTTGCTACATCTTTGCACCTCAGTTTTGTTATGTTTGATCCTTCTAATAGAGATATATGTTCAGTCTGTAAAAATTGTTGCAGAGGGAACAGCAGTGAAAAGAAAAGATGTATATGCCCTTGCATTAAGGTTATTCGCAAAACCTGATGAAACTGAGGAATCTTCAAATAGTTGAAACTCTGGCTGGTCTGGGCGAGAACCACATGTTTAACTAATCAGTTTTAGTGACCATTTCTTTGCCTTTGAAGTAAATTTGAAGCCTTTCTCATCAAATCAAAGCTGCTATGGTCTCAAGGAGCACAATGAAGAAGGCTATGTTGAAATTTGGATAGGCAATTAAGTTTTTTGAATATGTTGTATAAGTCTAGAGTAATAAAATAGGATATTTTCTCTCATGACAGTAATGACAGGAATTTTATTACTATGCACAGTTAATATTTTGATGTCATAAGATGCTATGCTATGTTTTTTTTGGGACATTTAGGCCATTTAAGGCAAACTCACACACACAATGCATACATAGAGACTTGAACCTTAGACCTCTTAATTGGAAGCCTTAGCTCTCAACCAATAGGCCAAGGAGAGTTGTGTATGCTATGCTATGTTATCATGTCAAGTAAAAAAGAAAAAATGAATTATATGATACTAAAATTTATGGTTATGCTAGGGAAAACGATAACTATTAACTGTGCATATTATTATTATTATTATTCGAGCGTCGCCTGTAGGGGGGGGGGGGTTGCTTCTTAAAGTAAATTTTTATTACAAAAATTAAAAAATTTATATTAGAAAACTGTTTTAAGAAGCAACAATAAAGTCTTCCCAAACGAAACTTAAGGCTTCATTTGGGACAGCTTTCTTACTGCATTTTTAATGCTTCCTAAAGCAGTTTTTTTAATGCTTACTAAAACGGCTTTCTTAATGCTTCCTAAAGCGGCTTTCTTAATGCTTACTAAAGCTTTTTTCTAGTAAAAAAGTTTTAGGTTAAAAAAATGTGTTCTAAAAAATTGTAAAAAAAATGATCTAAACCCTAAAGCCTAAGATGAGCTCAATTGTGCATCTTAAGAAGGGCAAATTTTTAAAAGGATCAGGTTTAAAAACAGATTTAAGAGGAGCACAATATAATTTTAATTTAGAAAGGACCAAAATGTTTTGTTAGAAAACGCAAAAAAAAAAAAAAAAAAA